AATCACACATAGATTCAAGCCTAATGAACTTTAAAATTTTTAATTTCTACAAATGACTCTGGAACCTATCAAATCACGTCCGATTTACCTCGAATTTTGTGCACAAGTCATAAATGACATAACGAAGGTACTCAAATTTTTAGAACCGGATTTCGACCCCGATATCAAAAAGTCAATCACTCGGTCAAACTTTCCAAAAATTAAACTTTCGGCATTTCAAGCCTAATTCACTACGAACTTTCAAATAAAATTTCGATCACGCTCCTAAGTCCAAAATCATAATACAGAGCTCTTGAAATCATCAAAATTCTATTATGGGGTCGTTTGCACATAATTCGACAGTCGGTCACTATTTGAACTTAAACTTTTAATTTTTTATCAAAATTCTATATCTCGGGTTAGGGACCTCGAAATTTGATTCTGAGCATACGCCCAAGTCCCAATTTACGATACGGACCTACCGGAACTGTCAAAATACTGATCCGAGTCTGTTTGCTCAAAATGTTGACCAAAGTCCCAAAGTTTATTTGCGCATCTGCGCTTGCCAGGCTAGATTAGCTTCTAGACTCTAGAGAAAGGTGTTAAATGGGTAACTATTGGATCCTTGTATGCCATTTAATCTAGCAAGGATATGTTTTTTTTGGGGGGGGGGGAATATATTGCCAAACACATGTTTATTCCAAGTGGTTGCCCTACTTTTTAAGATCTTAGTAGCCTTATGGATGTTATACTCAGGGGAGAAACTTTGTTGCACAATGGACAAAAATTTAGGGTGGTTACACCACATGGATTCAAACCTAAAAGGTTTTTTGTATCTAATGTGGTGGTTACTCGGGTTGTTGAAGAGTAAAGAGCAATGATCATAATGAGTCCTAGGAAGGTGGGTCACTGTGGTTTCAGGGAAACGTTATATCTAAATATTAGTAGCAAGGCATCTATCAAGTCTTTCCAGGATCAGGTCTTGCCTCCTAGTATATCTTTTATTGGTCCAGGTGTATTTAGAGCCTTTGAATTCTAGGTCCACTAGCTTACATTGATTGAGACACTACCAGAATCCATTACTCCTATTGAAATTTAAGGAATTACCACCTAACTTATCTCTAGCTTTCAGAATTTCATTAAAGTCACCCCCAACTAGCCAGTTTCCCCTATATACAGAAGCTAAGTCTTCTAGGAGCTCCCAAAAGTCCAGTCCTATCAGCTAAGCAGTTACTAGCATAAATAGCAGATAATAGCCATTTTAAGGAAGATGGAATTACCTGCACCATGGCATGGATCCCTTGAGGTGAGGTGGACACATTTTTCAGCTTCAGCAAGTCCTCCTTCCACATTAGCACAATACCACCAAATTGGCCAATAGAGGGAGTTTGGAATTGAGCATCAAACTGGAGCTCAGCAGTGAGGTGCTTGTGGTCTGCCATCCTAGTTTCAAGAAGGACCAATAGTGCAGGATTGTTAAAAGGGCCTTCCTCTTGGTTCCAATTCCCCTTGGCCACAGGGGTTGGCTTCATCACACCCAACATGGGTTTTAAGGATATTGTTGAGTTCCCTAAGCCTTGAGATAAGGGCACTCAGAGATCTATTGAGCATCTTGTTAGCTTTCTGGGGCATAGAGCAATAAACATTTCTCCCAATGGCTCTTTGAACTCTATTTTCATTGGTTCTTGCATAAGGAATGCTTTTGTTTTTAGGCGCCTAACTTTTCTATGAGATTTTCCAGATCCACATTGGATTCTCTGAGGTAACTCAGTGTGTTGTTGAGTCCCCTTCTCAGATAGTTGATGGGGGATAGTGGACAAGAGGATGGGGAGGGGGAGTACTGGAACTATTGGTGGCCACAAGGTGTAGTTGGGTGATGGGGTTGGAGTCTCTAGGTTCATTAGAGGAAATAAAAGCATAGACTAGCACATGTGGGCCATTAGGTTGTTGATCTCCTTCATGGACAATGGTTGCTTTGTCCTCATGTATTATGCCTGAATCATGGTGGACATCTACAACTGGTGTCCAAAGTTTGACAGGCCCTGATGGAGTAGTTGTATGGCTAGTCTCACTAAGCATCGAGGGTCCTGGACTGTGATTTCCATGGGGACTGACCCCACCATCAATTGAAATTTTTGATTGGTCCCCTGCAATGCTAGTTCCAGCCATGAATCTGGCGTGTGTTCCGGTGGTAGTGAGGTGGATGGGAGTGTTAGTGGGGAGGTAATTAGGGTTTTGGTGTTTGAGCTTGAGTTCTCTATTACTGAACTCAGCCTCGTGGAATCTCTAGGAGAGGGGCTGGGAAGAATGAATCATATTATTGGGACTGTGGTTATAAGCCATGTCTGATTCGTTGGGAGGTGTGTTTGGAGATCTTGCTTGAGCAGTCAATCTTGGAGGATTGACAAGCAAGGTCTTCTCACTGGTAACTACAGGAGATTGACGTGAAGTAAGTACTCGATTATCTGTATAGTAGGTGACACAGTCGGAGGAGAGAGAGGGGAGGAGTGGGTTGTGCGTGTGAGTGGAGCGAGATTGATGTTTCCTTGGGGTGGGTTGTCCCACTAACAAATGCGATTGGGCTGTCAGAGTATCTCTTTGAGAGACTGGGGTATTTTTATTTTGTGTAATAATACCTGATTTAGGGGATACAGATAGAAGTCCACTTAAGGTATCTTCTTCCCTCTCATTGGTATCAAACTTATGAGTGTGGGTGTTAGATATTATGCCCAAATAGGCATCTTTTATTGGCGTGTTAGGTAGGTGCCTTTTATGGCCAGATAGTTTGACGTGTGATGGGTCACGTAGGCTACTCGTGGCCAATTGTTGATTTAGGCTAATTTGCTTCTGGGCCACAGAAGCCCTTAGGGAGGTATCTAGCCATTTTTGTTGAAGAGATCGCCCACTTTGGGCCAACTGACTCCCTGGGTCATTTTCAACGCGGCCCAAATTTGTGGAGCCCATGGAAGGCCTGTGATTTAGGGCAAGGAATGTACCTAACGCCGGATTGAATCGCTTTACTTGCGTTTGGGTAACCTCCGCCAGTGTTCCCTTCTAATGCCGTTGTAGATGCTTGTTTTCCCTAAAAGGGGCAGTTGTCCATTGACCATCTCCTTTCTGCAATGCTTCTTCTCTGGTGGTGGGGGGTTATTTGTGTAGGGATCTGGTTGTGGGTTTTGGTCTAAGGGTTTAGCGTTGAACGAACAAAACCTAATTGTATGCTTAATCCTCTCACAGGCCTTGCAAAGGATCCCCTCCCCCTCATACAATATAGGCTGGGTGTGGGTACCTCTAGTAACTGTAGTGGTAACTAGGATCTCCAATGGTACTTGAATACAGATCCTTGTGTACCTTCCCCTTAGGGTGGAGGAGGTACATGTGTCGATCTTTAAAAGTTTTCCGATTCTGTTGCTGACTTGTTCAAGAATGGCCTTATCGTAGAATTCTCTCGGCAATTGCGGTAGCCTGATCCACACAGCTATTATGGCTATCTTAGATTATACTAGGACGAGATTTGGTTCCTATCGGCAAACCGATAAGAAATATTGCGCTACAAACTATGGACCATCTGTTAAGATTCATGCTCTCTTCGGGATTGAATTTGACCCAAATCAATGAGGGTAAGGGGTTCTATTAGTTTTGTGCCAGCTTTGCTCGCAACACTTGGTGTGGAATTTTCCTCCCAAATACTTTGATAATTAGGGATTTTTTTCAAGGTTGGTAGAGTCTGGTTTTGTCTTCATTCGTCAGCGGGATCGAGATGTTCCAGGCATTTAGTTCAAATAAGGGGACGAAGGGTGATTGGTGTGGTAGTTGGTACATGGTAGGGCTGTTCAAAATCGAACCGAAACCGTTAACCGAATCGAACCGATGGCTTATTGGTATCGGATTATCGGAGTAATGTATGGTGAATAGATTGAGATTTTATAATTAACGGCTTAACGGCTTGGGGGCGGATTACTCAATTTTCTTATCGGGTAAACCGTTAACCCGTTAAGAATTTTTATATTTACACTTTTACCCCAATGTATGTAAAGTACTATTGAAAGTAATTTGTTGAATTGTCTGCTGGTTTTATCCGCAATAGCTGGATTGTCTGGTTTTATGTCCTTTTTTGCATGCATCTAATAAATTAAAGTCTGATTTTCTGGATTTTTGGTTTTACAATCTGGATTTCTTGTGAAGAACGAATGTTACTAAAAGTTTGATTGATTCATACATGTATGGGTAGTCTTGAATATGAACTAGATTGGAACTTGGAAGAAGACTCTTCAATTCAAAAATACTGCTAGATCTTAGATGGTATTAAAATTTTAGTATTGATTTGAAACCGTTTAGTATTGATGGAATGATTTTTCAAAAAAATTCTATTTGATTTAGCCGATAAACCGCCAGATAATCGTTAATCTGATACGAATCCGCCCGTTGTCTTATTGGATGACTAGCGAATTACTGTATTTAAAATCCGATAATCGATAAGTCAAACCGTTAAGCATAATTATCCGCCCGATAAGCACCCCTAGTACATGTTAGATGAAAATTGGTTTGCATCTAGGAGGATTTCCTTGAAGGAATTCTTTTGGGGCATATCCTCCTCCATATACCCTAGGTAGGGGGCATGGGAAATATAAGGGGTTCCGGTGGGGTTTGAAGTGCCGGAAGTGGGCCTGTGGGCATTTTGGGTTATGTTGGGTTAGTGGAAGTTAGAGAGAGGGTAGTCTTTTTTTCTCTCGGCCAAGTTTCTGACTAATGCAAAGGACCGAACTCTACCCCTAGGTAAAAAAGTTATTTACACATTTTAAACGCTTTTATTCTCCGAAAGCTACTTCATTCCTAGGTCGTTCTCAGAAACTTGGAAAGTACAAAAATCTATTATTTTGTCGTCATTTCTTTTCAGTACCTTCAACTCAACCATCTTTTGGAATTTCAAGAACATATGGGGCCCGAAGTGCAATTAACAAAACAACAAAGGAGTACCTTCACAAAACTACCTATATGTATATATATAGATTGGATTACGCATATTCCATCCAACTATTTTTCAATTTACCTTCTTCCTCCAATTTTTCAATTTAGGGTTTCTACTGAATCCCCAAAACATCAAACCCTAAAAATCCATACAATTTCAAAGCAAAATCAATCCAGATATGAAGGGGCACAATCCGATTGAGGTGGCGAAGACGGTATTGGAGGTAGCCGACGTGGCATGGTCAGCAGTGGAACACTGTCACCACCATACCCATAATCGCTCCGAAACGACGCCGTATGATGTGTCTGAACAAGATGACGAATTAAAATCGTTGAGGTCTGAAAACGAGCGGCTGAAACGGTTGCTTCAACAAAATCTTGTGCTTCTTCAGAGCATGTCACAATCTCCTTTATTACTTCAAGATTGCCCCCCTGATGTATGTTTCCTTTTATTCCTCTTCCCTTTTCTCCCTATAGCTAAAAAAATTGATTTTTCTAATATTTTTTTTAAATATGTTGTGTAGCTTCATGATCGTCTGTTAGCTGCTGTGGAGTCAGGAAGCTTTTTGAAACAGCTGGAATCACTCAATCGAAATTCCGTTGATGGGGATGGCTGTCAATTTCCTTTCAAGGAGCCTACTGGTTCGTGTTGTTCTGTGTCCTTTGATATTTAGTTTTTGTCAGTTATAGTTGTAATATTTGCCCCAAGAGTGTGGTCTATATGGTCAATGATGTGGATGTAAACCTTGGAGACTTTGGTTCAAATCCCCGACAAAAAACTAGGTGATATTTAACCATCTACCTAAACTTTGGTGGGCAGAGTTACTCTGCTACCTGTGTTGGTGGGAGGTAGCAGGTACCCAGCGGAATAGTCGAGTACGCACAGGCTGAACCGGACAATTTCGCTTTATAAAAAAATAGTTGTAGTAATATTTGTTGACTCTCGTATATTAAAAGAGATTAGTCGTGGAGTAGGACGTAGGATTGAGTGAGATTGGATGAATCCCAGAATATATTCATTCGTTGGAGGTGGGTCGAGTCATAGGGATTTAACTAATTCGTTTTCTGAAGTTCTCTTAATCTTTATATGTCTTGCCCCCTTTGTTAATAAAGGACATCTACTTAATGCAGAAAAGTAAGATGTGCTGGAAGTCTAAAGGTTTACCAAAGTTGAGTAGTTGGTTGATATGAGTATTATGGAAATTGGTGTTTCCCTCTCATAATGTATTCCATTTTCAAAAGAGTGTTTTTCTTGACATCTTACTCTTAATAAGTTGTTAGATTCTGTTACCTTACCTTATAAAAAAATAAAAAAAAATCGAAAACATATATATATTGTTAGGTTCTGATTTACCCGAAACAAAATGTTGTTAGGTTCTGACGTGGAGACTGCAGAACTTCTGGTAAACATGAGCCTTGAAGGCCCAAGTTGGTGGGTTTGGGTGACTGAGGAAATGGTCCCCAGCAATTTTGAAGAAAGAAGTGGAATAGATAATGAAAATTACGTGATTGTTAGTGAGGAATATGTTGTAGATGCAGTTGCCAACTTTATGGCTAAATGCATAGTATCCAATTCGAAGGCTCAGGTACCAAGGCAATTTATATATTTATGCTTGTTTGTCATATTTCAATTAGGGAAAATAGCAATTTTAGTCCCTGGATTATTGTTTTATGTTATTTGATGAAGCACATTTAACCTTCAATTTAAACAATTGTGTGATTTTAATCCCATCATTGATTGTAAAATAACAGACGTTAGATAGCTCCATTCTGGTCTTTGCTTCTCTGGTATATTAGCTTTCTTTCCACACGGACCACCCCTCTATCTTCGATGTAGATGTGTTGGATGGTGTTTCACGCTAGTGATTATAAGGGGAAGCAAGATGTTGAAACTAGTGGGAAGGAATTTCAGGTTTTATATTCCCCACTCGTACAACTCTAAATTGATGGATAATGTTGAAGAGCACTGCTTTTGGGTAGTCAAAGGTAATGCAGCCATAGAAGAACTTTGTTGAACCACAGAAACCCTTCGAATTGATTGGCTAGGTGCTAACTTTGATATCCGGCAGAATTCCTGATGATCCTCCTAGAATGGATCAGATTTCACCATTGCTACCAACCGTTATCACAACTTCCCTTTATTACACCCTCATCGCACTCCTGTCATCCACCTTCCTCGTTATTACGTCTCTTCACTTGCATGTTAGGCTTTGGTGTGGTTGCTATTGGTGAACCCTTTTTGCAGAACAACTACTTTGTATAGCTGATGTGGACTCCCAAAATATGTAAATAATTTGGTAATAGACTTCAATCAAGAACAAGCTAGTGCAGAAGTAGTTGAATGTGCATGGGTGTAAAGAAATGCTGGGTATATGTGCCTAAATACCAATTAGGAAAATCAAAGTCGGAGCTATATAACTATCCTTTATCTTCCATCAATGATTTGATTAAAATTGCACATTTGTTAACTAAAATTTAAATGTGCTTCATCAAATAACACAGGGATTGAAACAACAATAACTCAATAACTCATGGACTAAAAGTATACTTCCCTTTCAATTATGTTGGGATCATGTCATTCTTTTCACTGTTTCTGTGTATTGCAATTGCAGAAGATGTCTCCTGAAGAACTGCAAAAGAGTAAGTTGCTGTTTGTTCTCTCCTATTCTTTCTTCGTTCTTTTAACATAAAACATCCAGAGTCAGGCGTAAAATTCGATGATTAGGTGATAAAGATTTTCATTACAATGGCTTCTACATTTTCTTCTTCATACTTTTTCTCTTTTGGATAATGGATTTACATGTATAGGCATGGACATGTTTTAAGATGGGGAGCCTTCTCAAGATTTAATGCTGGATCTAACCAAATGCTTGTTAGGAATAAATATTTAAGTGATAGGTTACTTCTGATAGTCTTCCTTTAGATAATGTTTGGCCATCCATTTTCATTTTTTTTTGGTGATTATGTGGTGTACAATAGCTCCAGATCTATGGGATTTATGCTGTCTTGTTAGAGAATTACATTCAAATGTTCGAGAGGGAGCGGAGAAAATGCACCTTTTTGGTTAAGTGCTAGAATTAGAAATAGATTTGATGAGAGAAGATTCATTGGTTGAGTGATTGTTAGAGACTGGTTGATTGATTGATTGTTAGAGGAGATTGATTGGTTGATTGGGTTACTTAATTGATCATTCCTTCTTATTTTCCATAGTGTGTTTATGATCTTTACTTGAGCATCATCTTATTATGTGGTCTTCAACTTGACTTACAGCCTTGACAAAAGCATTAGAAGGCACAGGTAAAGTAGAAAAATTGTTCAACATTTGGCATGCAGCACAAACGTTCTACGTCCTTTCCACCTGGGGACTTGCTCTAGTGGGGTGAGTACTCATTTATTATTTTTTGCTTCCCTGTGTTTCTAATCTTACATACTACAACAAATGGGGTGGCCTCACTTTACCATGTTTTCCATTCTAATTCTTCATATTTCTGGTCTTGCATGTTTTAGAAATTTTTGTATTTGGACTGGAACATCAACGACTTCCATAGAANAAACCCTAAATGAGTTGGGGCGGACTCACTGACCATGTTTTCCATTCTAGTTCTTCATATTTCTGGTCTTGCATGTTTTAGAAATTTTTGTATTTGGACTGGAACATCGTCGACTTCCACATAACTTCAATTGAAATATGTGAATGTGATCTGTGAAATTTCTTGGATATTTTAGGTCCTTGTGTAAAAATACAGAACTTTTGGTTGAATTTTGTAATCTGTTATTTAGCTTTCACCCCGGAAACAGCCTCTCTTCCCCCTCTGGGGTAGGGGTAAGGTCTGCGTACACTCTACCCTCCCCAGACCCCACTGGTGGGATTTTACTGGCTTGTTGTTGTTGTTATTTAGCTTTCACAGTTGAGGCTTCAAATTCTAGACCAATTTGTAAACATGATCAGACTATATCTTTTGAGAGATAATTTAGTGCAGATTTTGTTCTTTTGATCTCCGTACATCCAATGCATCTGACTTTGCCATACATGAACTATACTTTGAAGGGATTGACATTTTTGTTAGGACATAAAAGGTGCAGTGAGTAAACCTGTTGTTTCTGCAGGTTGTACAAGAGCCGATCTGTTGTTAGACTTGCTGCCAAAGGGGTTCACAATACAAGCAAAATGGTTCTAAAGGCTCTTTGAAGACGTTTTTTCTGTGTGCTTTCAACAGAATTGGTTGTGAATAAAGCGTGTAAATAATAGTAACTTCTTGTACAGTCTTGTAAATCAAATCAACCTTATTCGTCTTCCAATTTATTTCTGTGCTGGAATATTGTATATAGTGTGCAATTTGAAATCGTCTTACTTTATTGAGTCGACCTTCTGTCGTACTTGGTTACAATTGGATGATTTGAATGGCTGGTGACTTAGATATGTTTTGTAGTTTGATCTTTCCAATTAGATTTAAAAAAATCAGTTTAAATAAAGAGGTAAAAATTTCTTATTCGTGTTTTGGCAATACATGTTGCTATTAATTAACTAAAAATAAATTTTTACAAGAAGCAGACCTGCATCAATTGATGTTTATCCCTATGTTAGAATACAAATACAATTGAAATCTCCTATCAGAAATGTTCCCTATATCCCTCCACATGTTCCTTGTGAGTGCTTGGTCACTGATATCATACACCATTGTGGTGCTGAATTTACCTTATATATCTCTATATATGTTCCACTTCACAATGTACTAGCTGATCAGTGGCTTGAACTATATTTATTTGAAATACCATAGGTTTTCACAACACCCAAATTGTTACCTACCCTTTGCTTCATATCAATTTCTGGCTTCAATATGGTATTTTTGATGATGCTGCACGGTGCTTATTTTGTAATTTATCTTATCTGCTAGTTTAGGCAATATTTTTTTTGATACCAAGTTGATGATGTTTTACTGAATTTTTCATTTTTATGCAAAACATTTTGTCATCATTTTGGCACATGAATTAGCATCAACCAAGATGAAAATACATGAAATATTTTGGAGCATTACATGAAACCAATTTAATTTGAAATGAGCAATCATTAGAAGCTAACTTATAAAATCTTAAATAAATCACTTTCATATTTTCAAGTCCATGTGTTTGGATACTGGTAGTTCTTCATAGTTGCAAGATATATTTGATGATTTTAAAATATATTACTAGTTACTAAAATAAATACATTGTAGTTCGTCATAGTTATATTACTAGTCTGTTACATTAAATAATTACTTAATGCTGCTCTTCCTTGTTAACAAAAGAAAAAGAAGAAAATTTACAATTTAGCTATAATCAGTTCCTTCTTATGAACCCAACCTCCTTTCTTTTTTGCTCTAAATATAACCTTATTCCGACAATGCAAACAGATGTAAAATAATAAGTACGGTAATACTTTACAATACTTAAAAAGTTTATTTTGAGATTCTACCAAACTAATTATTTCAATTTCATTTTTGAAGTAACAATTTCAAACACTTCTATTTTATCAAACTATAAATATGATTAATTTCTGCGACAGCTAAAACAAAAATTTGCATGGCATGTCCTCCAAATGGACTGGTCTTGGCGGAATATCCCTTTTGACTGGTCTTAGCAAAATATACTCACTTTTAACTTGAACACCATAGTTTTTCAACTTTTAAAGTTTGAAATTCTTGTTTCGTACTGGAAAATAGAAGTTAATCCTTTGGATGTTGATAATTTGTGCTTAAATTTCCGGTTCAAGTGCAAAATTTGGTGATTTACTGTAGAAATCTCAAACCTCCATCAATGGACCTTAGAAAGTATTGAAGAAGACAAAGTAAATCTTTTTGGTTTGGTGTTATTTGACTAAATTGATGATTGTGGATTGTTTGTGTTGGTATCTGGAAGCTTTATTTCAAATTGGAAAAATGGCCAAATATACCTCTGTACTTTCAAAAATTATTTAAATATACCCTTCGTTATACTATGAGTCCCAAATATATCCTTGCCGCTATACTTTGGGTTTAAATATACCCCTCATTTAAACGGAATGACACGTGTCATCGTCCTATTGGCCAATTCTAAATATCTCCTAATTAATTAATAAGACGCATGCCCATTACCCAATAGGACGATGACACATGTCACTCCGTTTAAATGAGGGGTATATTTAAACCCAAAGTATAGCGACAAGGGTATATTTGGACTCATAGTATAACAAAGTATATATTTAAATAATTTTTGAAAGTACATGGGTATATTTGACCCTTTTCCCTTTCAAAATTGAGATTTATTAGATCAGTTTTGGAGTTCTTTGATCGAAATTGAAGTTACAAATTCAAAAAATACTATATTAGAACAACCTAGAAAAAGTATACTAATCGGGTAGATTTCGATGAACAACTTAACAGATAGGTAGAGATAATATAGATCAACTCTACCAATACGGTAGAGAAATCTTGAAGAGCAAAAATATGACAATCGAGTAGACTTTGATGATCAATCTAGTCCGGTAGAGAAACTCCTAAAAAGATGTGTGCGGATCCGAAAGCTATTTTTAAAGAAATTTTACATCATATAGCAAAGGTATACATCCTATTTATTATAAGCCAAAATTATTTTAAAATATTATTTTCTATAGCTACCTTTTATATTTTATAGCAAAATAGATATTTATGGTATATACTACCATTGAGGCATGAAATACGCTATTTTACGTTTTTCCTCTCTCTTTCTTTAATTAATAGTACAAGATTCTCTCTAAGATTTTTTCTTCTTTCTCTCTCTCTCTTCCTTCTATCTCTTCGAGCAACTCAAGCCTTAGTATTGATGACCGACAAGAAAAAAGAATCTCTCTCTTCGATTCTCTCTCAGATTTTTCTTATTTCTCTCTCTCTCTCTCTCTCTCTCTCTCTCTCTCTCTCTCTCTCTCTCTCTCTCTCTCTCTCTCTCTCTCTCTCTCTCTCTCTCTCTCTCTCTCTCTCTCTCTCTCTCTCTCTCTCTCTCTCTCTCTCTCTCTCTCTCTCTCTCTCTCTCTCTCTCTCTCTCTCTCTCTCTCTCTCTCTCTCTCTCTCTCTTCCTTCTCTCTCTCTTCCAGCAACTCAAGCCCTAGTATTGATGGCCGACGAGAAAGAAGAATCTCTCTCTCTTCGAGCAACTCAAGATACACGCCCTAGTATTGATGGCTGACAAGATATTTGAATAGAGTAGAAGGCAGCCAGGAAATAGAAAAAAGTGAATTTTTCGAATAGAAAGGAGCAATCTGATGAACTTTTATCATAAATTTGTTGTACGGATCCGACGAACTTTCTTCTCTTCTTGGGCGGAAAACACCATCTCTGACGAACTTTCTTCTCTTCTTTGCTATTTAGTCACATACAATGATACAAATACATTGTATTCTATACAAATTCACTCAAACACATTGTATTTTTATATAAATGAATTTTTTTTTGCATCTATTTATGTATTTCAAAGATCTGTATTTTTTTAATACAGTTGAATACACCTATATTCATGCATACTGTACATACAATATGCATGAATACATGATATAAACATTGAAATACACTGAATACAAACATTAAAATAGAACAGAATATAAACAGTGAATACATTTAATTTTAAAATATAGTGAAATGCAGTAAAATACACTGAATACAAATATAAATATAATGAATACAAACAATGAAATATACTTAATACAGCAGTAATAACATGTATTATGAATAAATAAAATACTGTTAATACAAATATATTTGAATACACTGAATATAAAATAGCGAATACAGTAAATACAAACATTGAATCTAATGAATACAACAATAAAAAAATATTGAAATACACTAAATATAAAAGTTAAATACAACTAAAAAATTATTCTAATTAATTGGGTTGATAACGAGGCATGTTAGAATTGGTTTTGTTGTGTTATATTTGGAGTGTATCACGCTAATTGATATTATTTTCATTATTAGACAGTTGGATATACCTATTTTTAAGGTGATTGCCGTTATTGTATTCTTGAATACATGGCGCGAATACATGCGCGTACAGTTGGATTGCCCAGATTTTAAGCGCTTTTGCTACTGTATTCATGAATACAACAACACGAATACAACGAATACACTACCGTAACAACTGAATAGTAGCTATAGGAAGTAATTGTGTATATGATAGCTATAGTAAATTAATAGCCACTAAACAATAGTAATTTCTGAAAGTTTCTCATTTTTTAAGTATCACCTACATTCAGCTAAGACCTGCCCCTTGAGGGGCTATTCCTGTCAATCTCTCCAGCTAAAACAATAATTGGGCCGGCCTAATTAAAGTGGAAGGTGGACAGGACTCTAAGTTTGTTTCGGGCCTGGGCCCCCAATATATTTTAACTTTCTCTTCTTCGGCCGAGAGACTCCGGCGAAATCAATTTGTAAGTTCTCCGCTTCTCCCATCTCTCTCTCTCTCTCTCTCTCTCTCTCTCATGAAACAAAAATATCAAGGTTTTATGGGCAGTGCATAAATTTTACCTTTTTGTTTGGTATTCCAATGGTCCTTTATCGGCGAAGTATGAATTTATGATTTGGGTAACTTTTTCATTTGCTCTCATTTTACTGTATATTCTTATTACCAGTTTCATTTATAATTTGGTAATATTTTTTTTTTGAACTAATGTTTAACTTTGAATCAGTCTAATCATAATGCTGGTTGTTAACCGAAAGTAGAATTTTGCAGTTTTTAGGCGGCGCAAAAGATCCAAAGTGGGAGATATAGTCGGGAGCAAAACGGAATGGCTTCTCTGTTCAAGGTAATATGAACGCCTAGTGTTCTTTGGCTTTTCACATGTGCTGTATACATGGGATGTTTGTTCAATAAGCAATTTGTCCATTGATTTAATGTTTTTATGTTGTATCTTTCTCTGCGTTTTCGTGGATTGTACTAATTCTGGTCGGTGGGGGTGGGGTTGGGGGNTCTGAAGGAGCATTTAAAAGACATGTTATAACTATCTGCACTAGTTACTAATGCTTTAATCCTTGTATAGCTTCTCATCCAAAGGAGGTAACACCTTTTTTCTTCTTAGACTTTCTCTGTTATAGAGGGCGGTTTGGGAAGGGTGC